GTAATATTGTAAAAATTATGGTCTATTACCAACATATATATATATATATACAATATTCTATAAATTCTATCGAATGTTTGGCGATAATATGTTTGTAGTTCGTAACATTTACTCGAAGTTCTGTGATCAACCGACGTAATCTAACAATCGAACAAGATCGCGAGCAGCGACTGCTCCATCTCTCTCGAGAATTAGAAGTTAAAAAGAAGGTAGTTCAAGACTTGTCAAATAAAAACGAACTACAAACATATTAACGCCAAACATTTGGTAGAATTTATAGAATATTGTAAAAATTATGGTCTATTACCAACATATATATATATATATATATATATATATATTATTAGTACATATATATAATTATTAGTACATATATATATATATATATATATATATATATATATATATATATATATATATATATATATATATATCTTATTTTATTTAGCTCGTATGTTGAATGTTAACGATAATAACGAACAGCACATTGTCCTGGTGACTCATAAAACTAATTACTATTTTTGTTACTCTGTTGTTATTATTATTATTATTATTATTTTAAGTTTTGTAATAATATTCGTAGGTTGCAGAAGCAGAATTTGCTTGAGTTATCACTTTATAATAATTATTTGATTATATATTTAATAATTTAATTATAAAATAATTATAACTTACTTCTTAACTTATGTATGCGCTTACCCCTAGAAATTGTATTGCAAAACAATAATATTCGTGCACGAGTTTGAATATTAGTACCTAACATACAATTTATTTATTATTTATTTTATTTATTATTTATTTATTATATTTTAACAAAATATATATGTGTGCGTGTGTGTGTGTTCGCGTGTATGTGTGTGTAGGTATGAATATTATATTACCTTACGCACATAACTACATACATAGCACATAACGCACATTTTAACGTAGTCAATTTGAAAGAAATTACATGATTTTGTTCATATATTTTCAGCCCGCCATACACACGGCGGTAGACATTTATAAAGCGTTAGCGAAGCCAAAATGACAGTAAGTTTTCTACTGTCTATATAATTAGTAATCAGTAGTAGCAGTAGTTGATTGCTTCAACAAGGAATCAGTAATAGTTACTGAGCTAGCTACTCCCATTTTAAGGGTTACTAGGCAAGATGTAGTAGCCAGTTTAAAAACAGTGTTAGTTTATGACGTTTAGCGTTGTTAAATTTTTCATCAACAATTACTCATGGTGAAGCATTTGATTGTTTAATTTGTTGTTCAGTAATTAGCTTTTAAATACTAATGATGGAGTAGTATTTATTCATTTAGTAGTAATTTACTACTGGAAGAATGTGCTAAAACTCAGATGTCTCTTATTATAAATGTCCTTGTAAAAGATCATTCATTCCATATAAGTTGTTCGTGTTTTTTTGTAGCATTGTTTATGTATATATACTTATGTGTGTGTGTGTTTGTGCGTGCGTGCGTGCGTGTGTGTGTGTGTGTATATATATATATATACTTTTGGATAGTTTTTTAGACAAATATATATGAAAAGTTTTTTAATGTTTGTACAAAAATGTATGGACTTAATTAATTTTTTGTCTCGATTTCTGTTTGATTTTTCGCAAAATTTAAAAATTTGTCATTTGGCACGGGAAGAGGTTTAGAGATTATTATTATTTGTATTTATTATTGTTATTATTACTGTTTGTTATCATTATTATTTTTATATTTTTTTGTCTTTATTATTATTTTTTTTTCAGAAACCGGTGCTCTTCTGTATCATATCTGTTGATTAAAATGATTTCAATGACGATGTCGTCATAGAGATAGTGGTTATGGTGAGTGCAGAGATAGTGATTATGGTGAGTGTAGAGATAGTGATTATGGTGAGTACTAAGGGTAAATTATGATAATTATGTTGTTGTTTAATGATGATGGTGGTGGTGATGGTGATGTTGATGACATTGTTGATACATTGACACTGTTTTGTATTGTATCAGGTTTCTCATACGTCGTACAAAGAATTGATTTCTGATTTGGTTTTATCCAATGGCTGTTTTGTTTTTTTTTTTTTTGGCAAATTTCATTTTACTTTTATTTATTTATTCTTATTAATTCATTTATTTCTCTTAATTATTTTACATTCGGTTTCATTTTTATTATTTGTTTATTTATTTTTTGTTTATTGTATATACATATAGTTAACTACAAAGCGTTAATTTAATTTAAACTTTGTGATAAACTTCCTAACTCCTAATGTATTGAAACATATTTATGTATTGTACAATGTACTGTACATTCTTACACGAGTTTAGTGTACATACGTACATCTGTCTGTGTGTATTTGTGGGTGTATGTGTGCGTTTGTGTGTTTGTGTTCCTGATGGTTCGGTAAAATGATATTCATGTTACACGCTCAGATATTCTTTGATCGTATTTGTATAGTTTTTTTTTTCATACTATTTCATTACTTATTTTTTTACACTTATGGGTTATTTTTAAAATTTATTTGAAATATTAATGTATTGATTAATTAATAAATTTATTTATTTATTTATTAATATTTTCATTCATTTTTTTTTCTAAAAACACCTCGTAAAGTTACATCAAATGTTTTTTCTGTGTGTTTGTGTGTGTGTTTGTGTGTATGAGGCACCCAACACATCACATTAATTGCACGCCGATATGTTTATTCATTAGTTACTTAACATACGTTTTTTACACGTTTCACAACCTGAAACCCAATTTTTTATTACAATTTCACAGTTTTAAAAAACAACATTTCATATCATAACATAGACACGTTGTATCGAAGCGTAAATGTTACTGCTTGCGTTTCTGTGCATATATGCATGTATCATATATATATATATATATATATATATATATATATATATATATATATATATATATATATATATATATATATATACCAATTTTGTTGTTTAACTTCCAATATAAACTGCTTACTCAAAATAGCGTATATAGTTTCACTGTTTTGTCATGATTTTTAACCGCGGAATTCGACACTGGATGAAATTTTTCTGGACGAAAACACAATTTTGAATATTACTAACATCTATATGGGTTGGGTGGGTCGGATTGTTGGAAAGCATGCACGTAGGGTTATCTTCGAAGATATGTATTTAATCATTTAATCGACGATGCTTATTTTAAACTCAGTTATCTCTTTTTCTGATATCCTATACATTCGTTTATAGATTGAATGTTCGTTATATGATGAATAATAATAATCGTTAATAGTTCTCCGTGGGGCATCAATGAATCCAATTTTTGGATAGGTACATTTTACCAAAAATTGGACTGAGGTGCCCAGGATTGTTGGATATCAATTTATGCCGAATCGGATCGTTTCCAATTTTGACCTTTTATAAATTCAATCTCGCTTGTTTTAAAAGCTTTCTTTGCAGAATAACGTACTAGATACAAAATAAATTAGAAAAAAGAAAGCAACACGGTCCATTTGCGTTATTCCGGTCGAAATTAGTTATTTTACATCCCGAAAAGATCATAAAGAGTTCTACACAAATTTGCTGCTTCGGTACCCTTACAAAAATATTTTTTAACCCTTACAAACAGATAAATGAATAAATATCAAACAAATTTAAATTATTCAACAGAATTAATTCTAAAATTTCTAACTAAGATCGATCTATATGCCTGATTATAAATTTCGCCAGTTTGGTGCAAAATCCAAGTCGTCAAAATTGCCACTTACTCGCAAACACGCTCCACACACACACACACAGACCACACAAACTCATGATAAACGATTTGCGTATGATACATGGAACAATATGTTTGATATTCATGGCTTTAGAAATAGCTTAAAAAGGGACAAATATCACTTGGGTTATAACTTCAATGAGTTAAATTATAGATCCGAAAGATTAACAATTCCGCACTATGGCATTGCTCAAGCAGTTGTTGGTCATTAAATTTGGTTTTATTTATTGCTATCTTGTTTGTGTATATATGCATGATGTTTTTTTCGTTTTACTGATTATTTGTTATTATCCCAATGATGGTGGCGTCATAATGATATCATCATCATCATCGACGTTTACATACGTTGCATAGTTTCACACTTTGATGGTCATATGGTATTATACAATTATATAAAATTTTTAAACTCTCGCCTATTTCATGTTATCATAAGTGTCTGGAAAATTTCGACGCTATAAATGGCTGTTTTTGTGGTTGAGTTTTTCGGTGATTGGTTGGCTAGTAATTCGTTAGATGTTCATTGATTGGTTGGCTAGTGATTGTATGTTTATTGATTGGTAGGTTCATTGATTGGTTGGCTAGTGATTGGTTGATTGATTGGTTGGCTTGTGATTGGTTGGGTGTTTATTGATTGGTAGGTTCGCTGATTGTTGGGTTTAAATAAATATATGAATGAATAATGATTTCACAAGTCCTCGCGCCAACATTATGGCGCCCGACTCAAACTTATTAAAACTCTATTTCAACCTTACCCTTTCCTTCAATTTTCTGACTGCTTTTCCGGCATTAATCTGTTAATATAATTTTCATCTGACTAACGTTGTTATTGTTGTTTTGTCTTTTTTATATTATTATTATTATTATATTATATTATGATTTTTAGGGTAGCTGAAGAAACACTTCATTTTCGTTTTTTTATTTATTCCATTCGATTTTTTTCCAAAATTCGACTTTTATTTCAACACTAATGAATAATTTTTTGTTATTAATTGTTCTTGGCGTCAGTACTTCAAAACAAAGCATTAGCGTCGCAAAGTTTAAAATAAAAATAATCAAACGTCCAAAATATGATCGTGTTACGATTCGAGACGAAAAAATGAAATCGATAATTCTTGGTGTGCTATTTGTCACACAGTACGGAGTTTGATACAAATTTCATACAAATAACATCGAAATAAACAGCCGCTTGGGTTGAGCGGTTGTTAGAATTCTTCATTGTTGTTTTCAATTTAATTTTTAACTTTATTAGGCTTTTATTTTTTTTAGTTAAAGTGCCAGCAATTCGAAACGAAACGTTTTATTAACAATTTGGAATGTGAATTTAGTGCATATCTCAGCCCGATTTACATGAGTTGAATATATTTGTGTATAAATTAATGATAAAAAATGAAAACTTACTAGTTAATCATAATAAATGTTAAACTTCAAAACAAGCAAAAATTAACTGTTTGCAAAGTTTATGAAAACACAGTTCTATATGTACATAAGGTTGAAACATTGGAATGGGTAGTTGATATTCATCATATTTGAAATAGAATGTTCCATATGTATGTGGTGGTACGAGTTGAGTTTTTAATTGTGTTGGTTTTATAACATTAATTTATTTCGAATAATAGTAGAAGCAGAAACAAACAAACCACAAAATATATCGTTACAATTTAAAAAGATGAAGTTAGTTGTTTTATTTTTTTTTTAAATGAGAAAAAGTTTATGTTATTTGTGCAGCACTCAAATATTCATGATGGGGTTTTTAAGGTTTTGTCCGATAATTGGTTGCCATTGTGGCTGTGCCCCAATTTGAAGGTGTGATCCGATTGGTTGATGAGACCCAATTTGTTGATGTGACCCAATTTGCTGATCCAATGGCAGCGTAGTTTCGTACATCTGTTTTATCTGCCCCGTTTTATACATATTCACGCGATAGTCCGACAATACTGGTGGTTTATTTTTATCCAATAAATCAACAGGTGGCGGTAAAAATCGTTCGTCTGAGGCGGTTGTCATTGTAACGTTTGTGACGTCATGATAGTAGCCAGAAGCTGAATCATAATCTGAGTCACGTGTCGAAGATTTGATGATGTATTGTTTTTGCTGTTGCAGTTGTCGTTCGGTGGCTTGCGAAGGAAGTGGTTGATCGGCCGAGCAGTAGATGGGCTCGTTCGTCACTCGTCTGAAGTACCTGCGATGATTGTTTGCAGTGATTTCGTAGTTACTTATTTCAATTTAATTATTTATGCTGATTACTTATTTCAATTTAATTAAATCATTCTGATATCTATCAATTAGTTGCAAAAAACTAACAAAAATGTATTCTAAGGACTATGAAAATTAGATAGCTACAATTCCACAAAGATGCGTTATTAATGAAATTTCTATTTAATTTTTTTAAAAATTGAAATAAACGATTTTGAAGTTTTATTTAAATTTTAAAATCATCGTTTTTGACGAACATTGTCGTTGAAAAGTCAAAAAATGTCTTTCATATGAGGGCTTGGAGGTAAACCCTGAGTACCCTCTTTTAATCCTGTCCTAATCATATTTCATATTTTCCTTTAAACCCAACCTTAAATATACTATTCAGCTCTTATCTAATTATAATATTTAACTCTTATTTAATTATAATATTTGACCCTGCCTACCTCCTCACAAGGACAAGTCCGATGATGAGTATGCACAGGCCAACCAGACCAGCCACAACTGGAATCATCACCATGGTTATACCTGGGTCATGATTAAATTATTAACAATACTATAGTTGAGTTGTGTTTCATTAAGTTTTAAAAAAGTATAAAATATTTTAATACAATTAGTTTTTAATTTTTTAATAAATTATAATTAATTGAAATCTATTTTAAATGTTTTAAAAAATTTGTTACTTTTGGCGAGGTTGATCGGACCCAATCGCATCGATGTGAAAGAATCTGGAAGAAATTTTAGGCAAGTATAAATGTTTTTGATTCACGCATGTTTGCTTAATTTTATTTCTCATCTCATCTAAATTCGATCATTCGATAAACAACTAATCCTTTGCTGTTTCTTTAAAAATTCAATCGATTGAAACCAAATCAAGCAATCAACTTATCAAGCAATCAAACAGTTAATCAGTCGATTTATTACTAAACTAACTAACCAGCAATCAGCCAGCCATCCAACCAGTCAACCAACCAACCAACCAACCGATAAACCAACCAACCAATAAACCAACCTTCCACACAGGATCCAACTTCACCATGCCAGGACAGGTCAGCCGCGCACTGGACAGTCCAGATGTGTTTGTGTGGAGCATCCTTACAACCAATGTACGTCACATTCCCGCCGTCCACACGGTGCACCCAACCATTTGGCGGACTTGGGTAGTCAGGGCATCCATAGGCTAACGAGTTTTTTGTTTTGTTTTATCATTTAAAACATTTATTAAGGATATTTATTTGGGATAAAGTTGTGTTTTAAACGTCTGTGTGAATGAATGAATGTGTATAAATTATTTGTTAACACTCAGATCTCTGTTGAATCAAGGTTTTTCACTAAAAGCCTTTGTTTAATTTTGATACTGGTTTACGATTATTTTTGAAAAATGTAAATTCAAATTATTTATTTTTTTATTCACTTACATGCTTTTCTGCAATCTTACAAAGAATACGTTCTAAATGTTTCTCTATGATTGAATATTCTTATTCATTAAAGGTACAAGCAATTCTGAACAATCTCTAAACTGAAATTTCACAAACAAACACATAAACAAAATTTCCGCCAAACATACAAAACTAACACGCCCATGCACACGTGCACGTACATCTCTCATGAGCAAGCAGTATCATATGTAGAACGAAACAAGAAGAAGAACAAATAAAACAAAGGGAGAATGAGTAGGCTAATACAACGCTGGCCACAGAGAGGCGAGCACTCGAGCGCGACATCGCATCATACACTTGAGCAGACGATTATCTGGCAGTAGCATCATCTATTATCTACAATTCCATGGCTCCTATGTGCATCATATTTATATATTGCTAACATTTTTCTACTCAGCTCGCGCCTGAAGCCGGTCTCAACTCAACGCCCGCAAGATATTTATACCTCTCGCTTTCGAACCATCCCCACACTGCATTGATACACGTTTCCATTACAGGCCAATACCATCAGCAACCTGAGCGTCAATACGATAGAGCAAAATCGTATAACCAGAGCCACAGACAAACAAAGAAAAATAATAACCGAACACCTGATTTCAATCAATAACAGTTTATTAGGCTGTCCTGCTCCTTCTTAAGGACAGTTGTTGATCCTAATTGTAATTTTGTGCCTTCTACTGATGAACTAAACTCGTCTAACGCTAAATAAATGTTGTGTATCACTGAGTTGCAATTGATACCGTCCACGTCTGCCATTTAAAAACATTCCTCTTGTCTACCTTCGTAAATGAATACGAATTGCGGAGTGACGTCATTTTCTCTACCGATGATGATCCTCAACTTGATCACGTGACTCAGCGAAGTGTACACGTGACTGTTCCTGGAGTAGTTGCGGCAGAGGGATGTGCCCGTTTGCATGAGGGCATCCCTAACGATGGCACACACCTGAGGTCATGATGATGATGATGTGATGATGACGACGATGTGGTGGTGGTGATGATGACGATGATGACGATGTGGGAGTGGTGGTGGTGATGATGATGACGGCAATTATGATGACGTTGGCGAGAAGATAACGATGTCGAGATAATGATGACGACGAAGTTGGCTTTGTTGACGTTGTTGACAAAGACGATAATGAAGATTTTTTAAGTTAGGCTAAGAAGCTGGCGATGACGACGATGACGATGATGAGGAAGATCTTCTAGACAGTGATGACGATGATGGTGGGAGAGATATTATTATCATTAAAACTAATAATGATGACAATGATAAAGAAGGTGCTGGCCGTTATAAACGCTTGCATTAAAAAAAGATGTGACGATGTTGAAAAATAATGATGGTGAGGAGGAGGAGGATGATGATGATGATGAGAATGATGATGATGATGAGGATGAATGATGATGATGATGATGCTATCAAAGATGAAGATGATGATGCTATCAAAGATGATGATGCAGTCAGTAGTGATGACGACGACGAAGATAGCAAAGTGCAAAAAATGATAAAGACGATGATGACAAGCAAAGCAGATGATGTGAGATAATGAAGATGGAGATGATGAGGATAGTGATAACGCTAAAAAACGCTAATGATGGTAACGATGACGACGATAATGACGTCAGTAGCAACAGAAACATGGTACGCTGCAATATTTACGCTAATAGCAATAAGAACGTTGAAGATGTCGAAGAGAAAATGTTGGCGTACACGGAAGACAATGATATCCAAGCTGACAACAAACTAAGGATGATGTTGTTGTTGATGATGTCGTTGTTGATGGTAATGATGTTGTTGTTGATGGTGATGATGTTGTTGTCGATGATGTTGATCTTGATGATGTTGTTTTGATGATGTTGATGGTGATGGTGATGATGGTGATGATATTGTTGTTGATGATGATGATGATTTTGATGATGATTTTGAAGGTGATGATGTTGTTGTTGATGATGTTGTTGTTGATGTTGATGATGTCGATAATGAAAATGGTGTTAATGACGATGTTGATGATGATGATGGTGATGATGTTGATGATGATGCTGATGGTGTTGATAATGAAGGCTACAACAGCAAAAACAAATTGAAACGATGATGACATCAAAAAACAACAAAAACAACAAAGTAGTGGTAATCAAGAACAACACAACAACAACGACAACAACAACAACGACAATCAGGATGTAACGACTGACTGAGCAGTTAGTAAGGTACATCTTCTGATCACTTCCTCCTCCTCCTTCTCCTCCGTTCTCAGTGCCCTTCATGCTGAAGTCAATCAACTTTAGTCTGACCTTTTGACCCGGAAGTGCCCTGATGATCCATGGATGTTCGTGAGATCCACATCCGCTTTCGGCGGTCAAGATGCTTGGCAGATATCCTGCGGTGTTTGTGACTTGAATCTCATTAGGCAGGAGAGATATTTTGTTGTTTTTCATTTTGTTGCTGTCATCGTTGTTGTTTGAGTTGATGTAATTGTTGTCGTTATCGTTGTTTAGTTGTTTGTTGTAATGGTGCTGTTGCTGTTGTTGTTGCTGTTGTTGTTGATAGTGCGACAACTTGTTCAAACTTGTTTGAGAGTCACATTTTTTTGTTGCTTGATGGACTGTAGAAGGGAAAGTTATTCAATCACATACTTCATTCCAATTCACTTTTTAATCAATTCATCAATTCAATTAACTATTAAAATTCACTCGAATGAATAAACCACAATTTCGTCGAGCAATTCAATAATTCACCTACCTTTCATGCACCTGTATCCTGCTTCCAGGTACAACTTGAGATCCTGGTTGCATGGTTTCAAGGAGGACATCTCACGATCCGGCACTCCCACTATGCACTGTCTGCGTCCTGAACATCTGAGTGAGTGAATGAATGAATGAATAAACGAATGAATGAATAGACGGACGGATGGATGAATGAGTGAATAAATGATGGATGAATGAGCAGGTATATATCGAAGTTGATTGATTGATCGATTGATTGATTGATTGATATAAAAAAAGTCGCAATAAAAACTTCGTAGCCAGAGAATTGTTATCAATTTTTATGCCACTCACGATAGGAGCGAACAGTTTCTTTTGTTTCCTAATGAAACAACTCTCCACTTACTTACATGTGTGCAAATCCGTGAAATCCATATAAATAAAACTTAAATGCAACCAAGCATACTCGTGTTTTGTAAACTGAAGAAAATTCACGAAATTACACTGAGAAATATTATTTAAAAAAAAAGCCAAATTAATTATAAAACAATAAAAACAGCGTAAAAACACTCCTTATTCCCCAAACATACAAACAAATAAACAGACAGACAAACAGACAAACAAACAAACACAACTAACCTTCTTTCCATAAGAAAAAGAACATCTTTGAAGCAACCAACGTATCCGAAATCGGTGTGAACACACGTGCCCCTGGCCATCCTGCCGTAGAGTGCCCTTGTCATCACGATGACTTCATCCTTCGAAGAACACGTGGCGTTGAAACTGTCAAACTCGCAGTAGTAATTCCCTTGATAATTATGTTTATCTTAGTTATTTTTTTTGAGTTGAATTGAAATAGAAACAGTTTCCTTTAAAATTATTTTTATCTTAGTTAATTTTTTTGAGTTAAATTGAGAAATGAGAAAAATTTGTTAATGAGAAAAATTAGTAATTGAATTTTCAATAGTATTTTAATTTATTCAAACAATTCAGCAAAGGAAATATGTGAAATAGAAAATAAATGACGTTTGCATACATACATACATACATACATACATACATACATACATACATACATACATACATACATACATACATACATACATACATACATACATACATACATACATACATACATACATACATACATACATACATATAAACATACATACATACATACATACAAACACACATACATACATACATATAAACATACATATAAACATACATATAAACATACATACATACATACATTAGGGTGGGTCGAATTTTTTTATCTTTCCTGTACATGAACAAAAAGTTGTCTTGGCATCAGTACAGTATGAAAATAATAATTAAAGATTTTTTATGAAACGTTTAAGGGTCCCAACTTTTGATTAAAGTCTTACCTTATTTGGCGTATTTTAACCATTTCCTTGGTACAATCTAAATACGTACCAACTATAAATCATTGACTAAAATGGCTTAGCACCTAACTACAAGTGCTAAAAAAGAAATGGAGTAAATTTTATAACGTTATTTGCATGTGACGTCACCAACATTAACAACAAACCATGTGCTGGATTTTTTAGAAACAAGCAAAATATCTAATATATTATTTTGTAATTTTATTTTTTTTTTTGCAATAATAGATCTATAGTAAAATTCAAGTAGGCTAATATAGATGTATACTACAGTAGGCTATAGTCTAAACTGTAGATAAATCACTTCATTTAACTGGAGGAGAACTTAGGTAGACCATTACAGTGGTTGGTATGCCTTCCACACTGTAACGAGCTGCCATTTAGAAGGTTTTTGGCAGGCGTGGATTTTGCTCGAACTACAGGACCTTCCACATCGACAGGTACAATTAGCTCAGCTCTAGAATATGATCCAAATGAATTGCCTGTCGTTAATTATTTGCCAATTACTGGTAAGTTGACTGATTGTGATGAAGCTGTCAAGAAGGATCTTAGCACAGACCAACTGTAGTTTTTGAAAGCATGTCTAGCAGTACAGCTCGATGGTTGACGAAAGCCAACAGGATTTTGCGTCTCTACATGTCTAGAGAAGTGGCATCTGAACCTCTCAGAAGAGTAACGCATTTCATTTTGAACTTTTACGGACCCTCTTGGTTCAAAATTAAATCAAATTCTCCTTGCCGAAATGGTGCTACCAACTTCTTTTACTTGGTTCAGTTGTTTCGGGAATTTGATGCCTTAGATCAGGCTGTGGTTCGTCCTGTTCTCAAAAATAACTGCTACTTTGCGCATGCTGAAAACATTCTCTTAGCTGCAGTTAGTGATAGTGATATGGAAATTCGTCGTTTTTCAGTAGAACAAATAATAAGAGCAAGAGAGAAGCAGACTAATAGTTCGCGTCTTTGATAAGAAGGATATAACATTAAATCTGGCTGCGACATCGTTCATTAACATGATTGACTGAGACCAGAGTAATGTTACGTCTCCTCCGATGCTATCACACCTTTCAAATGATCAACTTACTAACACACATTCAATACTACAGCCCGATGTTCCATGTCATTCACAGGCAATTAAAGACGTGAGCGCTGCCAGCTGTAAAGTTTATAGGAGAAAGTCCCGTCATGGCATGGTGTTACAGAGTAAGAAATCCAAATTAGAGATACCAAAAATAGACAGCAAGAAAGATTTTATTAACAGTTAGGTTAAACAACTTTGTATTGGTGCTGTTTAACATTGATTCGTTACAGTTTACATTCTTTTTAATTTGTAATACATTGCAATACATTACACTAACATTGGGTATTTATGTAGTCTTTCTAGTCAGAGTTGGGACCTGTAGACACTGTCCATAAAATAAAAAGTGAGGTTTTTTCAAACGAGTACATCAAAAAGCAACTTTTTAGACATGTACAGGATCTCCAACTTAATATTTTTTACATTTCGACTCACCTTAACATACATATATACATACATACAAACACACATACATACAAACACATACACGTGGAACGATAAACAAGTGGAAGCTATAACTCGAGAGAATAGGCATTAATACATCGGCGATGTTGGTTGCTGTTTATGCCGGCCGAGTTGAAGTAAGATAAACATATGACAAACCTTTTGTGTGTGTGTATGTGTGTTTGTGTGTGTTTGTGGGTGTGTTTGTGTGTATGTCAAAGTGGGTAGGTATATTTGTATGTTTGCTTGTATGCATGCATGAATGTATGATCATTTTTGTTTCGGCTATTACAAGTTGTTGATCGTTTCTTATTGCTGGTCAGTAAGTAGTTGTTGTAGTGGCAGCGATTGCTATTTTGTGTCGATCTAGCTTCGTTTAAAACAACAATTACTACTACTACTACCACTACTTCTACTACTACTACTACTACTACTACTACTACTACTACCACTACCTTTACTACGACTACTACTTCGTCCACAACAGCAGCAGCAACAACAACTACCACTACTACTACTACTACAACTACTACCACTACCTTTACTACGACTACTACTATTACTGCTACTTTGTCCACAACAGCAGCAGCAACAACAACAACAACTACTACTACTACTACTACTACTACTACTACTACTACTACTACTACTACTACTACTACTACTACTACTGCTGCTGCTGCTGCTGCTGCCCTAGACTAGACGATATTGATGATTGCTATCATGGTGTTATTGATGACGCTGCTATTATTAGCATTACTATTAGTAGTGGTAAAAGTAGTAGTAGTAGTAGTAGTAGTAGTAGTAGTAGTAGTTAGTAATAGTAGTAGTAGTTAAACGGTAAATAACAACATTGCGTAATGTTACCAAACATTTATTAACGTTTCCAAACTGTAATGTGATGTAATGGGATACTAAATGATCTCAATTGTAATGTAAGTAATGTAATTGATGTCAGTCAATATATTTAATGTGAGAGTCGATTTGGTTGATGTATTGTTGAGAAGTATTTAGAAGTAATTAATAAGTTTATTAGTATATAAGTATGGAAAGACACATAACGCATCGCATTCTTAATGACTTAATGATGATGTGATAGTTAATGTAACAATGTAATAATGTAATGATGATGTATGATACAACTATAGATAAACTGCAATGATAACATTAAATAATAATATGGTGATAGTATTAATAATACGAAAGTTGTCAGAAATAATGATGATGATGATGATGACAATATGGTCAAGATGATGAGGAGGAGAAAGAAGAGGAGAAAGATGATGGTGATTATATAATAATGATGATAGTAATATGATGATGTTGATGATATTCTTGTGGAGAGAGAGTTCAAGTGTACGTGGATTGGATACTTCCGTTGTGAAAGTGCCTTATTAGAGTTTGTGCATGTACATGTGTGTGTGTGAGTATGTGTGTGTGTGAGTGTGTGTGTGTGTGTGCGCGTGTACTTACACAAATGTATGTAAGTATGCAGGCAGGTAGGTGTTTGCATATGTGTGTGTACCAGAATGTTTGTCTGTGTGTAGTAACCTGTGTGCGTGTATGTGTTTTTGATTATGTTAGTGTGCGTATATTTGCGTGTGTGTACATGTGTATGTGTGTGTGTGCGTGCAAGTGTACTTAAACATTGTTTGTGGCCGTTCCTTCGCACCTAGATAGATTAATGACTATAAGCGGGGTGATTATAACAGCGATGATGATGATAATAATAATAGGTTAGATTTGTACTTCTATTTTCACTTAGAATTCTACTTCTGTTACAGGTTTATATTTTTGCATCCACAACAATTTAACGAGCAACGTTTTGAAAATTGGTCTAAACGAGTGCTTGTCCTCTCATGTTTCTCCTCCGTTCATGAATAATGTGCATCCAAGCGTAGAGCAAAAAGCATTAAAAAATAAAAGTTCGTTCGTTTGTTTGCATTCAAAAGTCTACAAGACTGAAACTTTCATTGTTTAAAAAGTTAAATTTTCAAAGAAAACTTAAGTCCCTTGTCTTCAGATAGTAGACAGTTATACGCGAATGCACACACACACACACAACACACACAGACAAATACAAACACACGCACTCACGCACAGACACACACACACACACACATACATATACACAGTGTCTCTGAATCATTCAGCATAATTGTACTTGGAAAAGCGGATGTTAAAATTTGAAATACAAAACGGCTAGCAGTACGATTGAACAAATGTTTTTATTTTTTAACAGTGTATGAATAAGCATACATAAATAAACAGCCTACACACACATATACACACACACACGCACACCACACACACACACACGCGCGCAACACACATACACACGCACATATTTACACACATACACTGAAAAATCACAAAAAGCAGTTAACATTGGTCCATGCAAAATGATCTCGATGTTTTCTTTCATGTTCGGTACTGCCTATGTTCACTTTGCGACATTTCAACGAATGAATGCCTTTGTTCTACAATCTACTTTAGTGTACTTGTCGAGAAGTTTTGAATATTTTGTATTGTTTTTTTGATCCGTTGTTTGATTGTTTGTTTGTTTGTTTGTTTCATTTGTTTGTGTTCGTTTGTTTCATTTGTTTGTTTGTTCGTTTGTGTTCGTTTGTTTGGATTTTAACTTTTTGATAAATACTTTTCAATGTTGATTTGTTTGTGATGCTTTGTTTGTTAAAAAAATCATTTCCGGTTGTCTGTCGTTTTGGTTCTTTGGTGTCTTTTGCATGGATTTGATGGTGCTGATCATTTTACGGGTTGTTTTTTAATCATTGTGTGAGTATAAATATGTGTGTATAAATGTGTCTGTGTGGATGTGTGCGTAAATGTGTTAATGTGTGCGTGATTGTGTGAATGTGTGCGTGTATGTGTGAGTGCAACAGCAAGTAGACGTCATTTTTATTCGGCGGGTTTTAGGCTTCTCCGTAAGTCTTGCTAATTATGAAACTTTTGTTGAAACTTGGTTTGGTTTTCTCATACATACAAATTATACATACTTAAATGTTCAAACACACATACACACACACTTACATACACTTATATACCCATAAACACGCACACACGCAGGCATACATACATACATAGGCGTGTACGCTTGAGCATGTTAATGATCAACCCCCTATTGCTTTTGAAAATTGTTTGAAAAAATTCTGAGATGGTTCTTCCTGTTATGAATGTCTGTATGTGTAGGTATTGTAGTTGCTGTTGTCGGTGTGGTTGCTGTCGTTGTGGTTGTGGCGGCTGTTGTGGTTGATGCTTTGTTGATGATACGTTTATGAAGATTACAACATAACGGATAGTGGTGATTATAAAGTGGAATGTAAATGACGATGACAATGATGAGGCTGGCGCGAAGGATGCTGACGCTGATGAAGCTGTGGCTGATGAGGCTGACGTTGATGATGACACTGATGATGATGACACTGATGATGATGACAATGATGATGATGATGATGATGGTAGCGATGGAAAAAAATGTTGATGGTGGTGTTATTGGCGCCCATGATTAATGAGCAAACTATGGCATTTATGAAAAAAAATATTTCAGCAGTAGTAATAAAAATAGATTTTAAAAAATAATAATAATTAATAATAATAATACTAATAAATAATAAAAAAAATAATAAAACAAATGATGATGATAATAATAATAATAGTAAATTATTATCATAATGTAAAAATAGCAATGAAACAAATGATGCTGATGATGACGACGATGACGATGATGATGACGACGACGATGATGACAATGATGATGGTAATGATGATGATGATGATGATGACGACGACGACGATGATGATGACGACGACAAAAAACAACGGTGACAACAACAACACTTATAATATTTACAATAGAATATGATAGCATGACGATGACGATGACGACGATGATGATGAGGACAATACAATACATGCAACGCAGTGACTACGATGGTGATGACGATTGTGTTGACGGGGACCACGGCGACGACAGTGATGAAAAAGATGATGAGGATGATGAAGATGATGATGAAGATGACGATGGAGAGGAAGATGAGGAAGAAGAGGAAGATGAGAAAAAAGAGGAAGAGGAAGAGTATGATGATGACGTTGGTGACAGGACTATGGAGATTATGGTGATAAAGGAATGATGGATGCTAATGATGCTGAGCCTTGAACGATGTTTCTGCAGTTGATAAAAGGAAGATGATTATTTCGAAGATGATGATGACGATGATGACGACGATGAATATAACATTAGTGATGATGATGACGACGACGATTATGATAATAATGACGATGACGGCGATTACGATGATGATGGTGATGAAGATGAGGAGGACGATGACATCATTGCGACTAGAAGAGCATTCTACGTGCCTAATTAACTCTTGTAAGTTAGTCGATCCATTTATCTAATGACTGCAAAACACACATGTGCTGATATATAGATATATATATATATAATATAATTTATTATATTTATATACTATACATATGTGTGTATAAATATACAGCATTATATATATATAATATGCATATCTATATGTATATATATATATATATGTATATGTATATATATATATATATATATATATATATATATATATATATATATATATATATATATATATATATGGGTATTATATGTATTTTGAAGTAGCGTTTTTATCTTCTACACGTGTGAATTTAATCAAAACGACGAAGATGATGAGTTGATGATGATGATGATGATGATGATGTTGA